GATAGTGACGGTAGCTTTTATTACTATGTCCCCTCTAGCGAGGGTAGTAGAGATGACGTTATAGTAAACAGAGTGTGAATGAGGGTAATCGCTGTAAAGTCATCTTACCAACATTATAAGGTAAGGAGCGTTATTATACGCGTAAGACTTAGGCGAAGTATTTACCCGATATGTCTAGTCGACGACACTCGCTTGCTGCGGACAGCAGCAGCAACTGTTTACTCTCTTGGTTTTTATCTGCTCTTGTCACTGGCCTGCCCAGGGTTTCAATTTCGACTCCCACTTTACTTATCTGATTTGAACTATAAATCTAATGTCCGCTGTTCGGTTCGGGTGTGAGTCACCACGCCAGTACTCTATTAAGCCTCTGGATAAGAGGTGTGGGACGCTCTTCTACCGAGGAGGTCCTGAGTGTGGAACCTACTACCCAGTGAATAATATCATCATGTTCTTGGCACCTTGATATCACCGAAGCAATCTTCTCTTCTACTCGTAGAGTGTATACTTGTGTTAGCGATTTTATAATGTTATTGAACAATAAACAATCAGTCTGAAATCTTTGTACTCTAGTCGTGGGATTCTAGCTGGTTCATAATGGTGCTCCAGGCTACTATGTATCTTCTTTATCGTGCGATCATTCTAGTCTGGTCTATAGTGGTGGTCCGTGTAACAAGCGAGCAACCTTTTACATCTCACGGGGATACTTTAGCTGCTGAAATTCAGCGTCGCTCACCTTGTGTGTGGTGGACCGTCCGCCGTGAACGTGGATTTGCCTGTTCCTCTGCCAGTGTACATTCCCGTTCGGAATGAGAAACATTACTTCAGTCGTCAACGATGCAGTTTGCTTTTGTTGTGTTAGTGCGTTGTGAATCGACGATGGTTGTCCTGGGTTTGGAACATCTGCATGTGAGAGTTGTTCAGCAGTGGGATCTTGCCTATTCACGAGTCCTCGTACTCCGTAGGAATACAGTATACTAAAGTTTTGAGACGAACAAACGGAGCGGTCGAAGAACGGAGGAAATCGGATTCTTTATGAACTTGTGTTGACACTCTATGAGCAGCGCAAACTCAATCGGTTCCTCATGGAGTTGTTCTATCTGAACCGGTCACAGGTTGGATAGATTGGCATTGTTCATCTCATGTTAGTTCATAGAACAGCTGCGTCACACCGTGTACTCGAAGGATTGCTCGGTAGGCTAGTGCCACGTGACCAGTTTGCTCACCTGCTTAGCATAAAGTATGACCGAGAATGAGTTGCGGCGAACGCCGTCAATGCAGTGCGACTTGATAAACAAATGGAGGTGTTGAAGGAGAAACAACATCTCAATTTGAGATGTTGAGAAGTATGTTGTTCCACAACTATGTGAACATCTCAAACCAGATGTATGAGAAAGGCTCAAAGCCTTTCTCATATCGGCACTACGTTGTCTACGGCGGAAGGTTATTACTCCCGATGCTTTGTCGTCTGATATGCCTCGAAGGCAATAATCGGTTCAGGGCGACTCTAGTCCAGGCTGAGCTAGTCGGCTCCGGTACCATATCAATAACTGATTCCGCACATCTTATCTGAAATGCAGCGGAATCTGTCAAACGTTGCCCATTCTGCTGGAATGGTCTAGTTAGCGATTACGACTGCCTTACACGCAGTGGGTACCGAGTTCAATTCTCGTTTCCTGTACCATTTTAATTGCTGGTTGCAGTTCGCAGCCTGCAAACCCAACCTGAAAACTGACGGGATATTTGAAGTCTGTTTTGGGTTCAACCGTCAATGCGAGTCCAAATATCAGATCTGGGAGACTATCTAATAATCCTGATTAGAAAGCGAATAACCACTGATGCATATATCGCTGCACTCTCTACATCACCAGATGTTACATGACTTAACACAAGTCGATTCGCCTATCGAGCTAACTGTTTTGATTGACGAGAATCGTAACAACAAAATATTTGCTACAGGCATGGTTGCATCCTAGCATCGAAGCATTAGTATCGAGTGACTCACTCGGAGTGAGATAAACCAAAATACTCATACAAGACAATCAGAATCGACTGCGAGTCGGACGCTCGGAGTCAAACACGATCAGGAGCAGCAGCCTCCTTGAGATTGATTGTATCTCTGACTCTGCAACTCTGCAACATTCGTACTACTAGCAGGGAGACCGACCTTGATGCCATGCGACTAAAAAAGGGAGGCTTTTTCGCAGGATCTTAGACTACATCGCTCGGACGCAGAAATACTACAAGCGCGAGATTTAGACTGATCAACACATAACTCACAAGCTTGCATATGCAATGTTACCTCAAAGCACATTGCATAAGTCGACAGAGTTCAGTTGGCAGAGTTCAATGTTGAATATTCATTGCTCACCTCGTTAGATAAATCATAAACACCAGCGAGTATATTCTCGTAGATCTTCCTGGCAGTCTGGAGGAATGCCTCCTCCACATTCTGGGCTGTCTTCGCCGATGCTTCCAAGAATATCAGATTATTGTCTCTAGCGAATTTGGCACCCTAAAAGCACAGAAGATCCCACAAGGAGATTCGGTACGGAGATCTGCTCAGTGTGCGCATCTCTCCGTGTACACCTTGTCCCTTCACAACCGAATACTTCTCTAACGCACCTCATCGTAAGAGACTTCACGTCTCTCAAGATCGCACTTGTTACCGATGAGCATGATGACCATGTTGGGATTAGAGTTCTGCCTTGCCTCCTCTAACCAGCGAGTAAGATGATTGAAGGTGTCTCGTCTGAGTCAAACTTATAAGGAACCGGAATCGATCAGATGCTACCTTGAGATGTCATACACCAGGAGAGCTCCGGTGGCTCCACGATAATAGCTCCTCGTTATTGAGCGGAAACTCTCCTGTCCCGCTGTGTCCCAAATTTGGAGCTTGATCTGTTTGCCGTCAACATTGACCTGAAAAGCGATCGCAGTCGCGAGCGATTCTCTCTCAGTTTTCCCCTCCTACCAACCGAGCACCGAATTCAACTCCTATCGTCAAGTCGTGGTCTGGTCGGAAGCGCTTGTCGGTGAACTGTAGGAGCAGGCACGACTTACCAACACCTGCACAAGCGCTGCTGCCCAATGGACCACATGGCAACCGCCACTTCTACCTGTATCACCGATGATGATGTATTTGAAAAGATACGAATAAGACATGGAAAAGTATCCTTCAACGACAACAGTTTTATACATACGACCGGTTTAATAACTCAGTTCCTGCGTTACCATGCACTGCTCCCCCAAGCACAACAGCGACGCAATCCAAGGAGACATGTGCCATAACGGCTACGTTGGAGCGGTGACTCCACGCATGTTCGGTCCAAGAACATATAGCTTGGCAAACCCTCCGAGCTCCGATCTTGTCAAAGTATCCCTTGATATTTCCTGCAACCTTGGTCTCTCCATCGCTCATGTGATCTGGTTGATCCTCAAGCCGCTCCTATCCGACGGTTTGCATCCTTCCTGATCTCTTTGATAATCTCCGTATCGATGCCATGGCCATCCAACGAAAGGAATGACTCTGACGTCGGCCATGATGCTGCATCGGGTAGTTCCGAGTAAGAGTCGAAAACGCAAGGCTACAGTCGAGCTCATTGCTACGAATCAACTTAGAACATCACGTCACCACAGCGCCCCAAGCCACCGCCGTTTCGCACACAACATTACTGAAGTTTCACAGGCAAATAGTTTCTTATAGTTGCTACAAAAAGTTTTCGTTACATACTATGTGGTCCGAGAAACCTCAATGCCCCGGGTGAATCTGAGGACCTCCAGCGCCCCAAGGTGCCGATGGTTCAGGCGACTGAGCTTGGTACGAATAGGTAGCCTGATAGGGGCCCGCTGGATTGTGCTGAATGTACGGTGAGGAGGGCATCTGCTGAGAGACTATGACCAGCGATAGGACTAATGAGTATATCACCTGGCCAGGGGGAGAATTGAAGTTGCCTTGGAGATTTCGCAGCATGCCATTCTTCTCCTCCGTCCTTGCAAACACGTAATCCCCAATCTGCTGATCAACCTACCATAGGAACCTGGAAGTACTACCACGCTTGAGCAGTCGTACCTGTCCCAGATAGTCCAGTAACCGCGAGAAGAATGCAACTCCTTCCGCAGCCTCTCCAGATGCCGTTATCAACGCCGTTGCTGCTGAGTCCCATGCCTGATAGCGATGATAATTCTCCTTACCAACCCGTTGAGACTCACATGTAGTTTCCCTTGACGTGAATTCTTAGCTTGCCCTATCTTCGCCACAACAGCATCATTCCACTCGTTATACGAAGCTATCGTAGGCTCAAGGCAGCGGCTTTGCAGACTGTTTATGGTCTCCAACACTGCTGTGTTAGAATGGGCACATAGTAGCTCCTGAAGGTTCAGTCCGCAAACAAGCTAACACAAGAGCAGGCCTCCGCTCACCTGTACAGCTGCATCAAGATCACTTTGCCGCTGCAACAAAGTAGGAGTAGGATTTTCTTGGAGCGCATTCTGACGAAAGGACTCCACCTCTTCTTTAACAGTAGCCTGAGAGGAACACACTCATCACAGACCGAGCAAGTACGTGTCCAACCAGCTCGGCCTGCAAACGGTCCACGCAATCAGCGCAACGCATTCTAGCGGCCTCTATCTTAGGATCTGCCGTGAGGCGCGACTGACCAGGCATAGCAGAAGTACTGACAAGAATACAAATGGGTGCATATCAATGGAGCGAAGCATGAACACAAACCTGCGGAGATCAGCTTCCAACTCCTCCTTTGTTTTACTACTAACCGCACCGAACACAGCAGCATCGATCGAGTCCACCTGCACAACCACTACGACGGCGTTTCATAGTCCCGATCTGACCTTCCTCCGTAGCTTTGCATTAGTCTCGTTAGCCAGAGTGAGCTTCTCTCGATACTGTTGCAACTGTGTGTAGAAGCTATGTGGTACTTGATCGCTGGGTGTGCGATTCCACCGATCACCAAACCGATCATGGCATCTACCATCCATCATGACAACATACCATCCCTACTGCTGAAGCCTACCGAGAATCCTCCTGGGCCTCTTCCCGAAGCTGATCCTCGCACTTCACTATAGAATTCTCTGCTGCCTGTGACATCTGTTCGAGCCCGTCTATTTGAGCCTTCAGACCCAGCGGGCCAGCTCCAGAATTTGTCAGTCGAGCCTGTTATTATCAATGGTCGTTGCCGAGTCCATCCCTCAGGTAAATCTGCGGTACCTTTTCTATGTTTGACCAGACGCTCTCGGGGACTTTAACATCTTCCTCGTCACTTCCATCACACTCTTGTTTCTGGACTGAAATGAATCCGAATTCAACCCAGAAGAGCATCCCCAGCTGGAAGGCACAACACCTGCAGAGGGAAGGCCCCGCTCAGCTAGGGCATCGTTGACCAGCTCAGTCATGTGGGAGAAAGCGTCGTCAACTGGTCCTACAACTTGTGCCTCTAGTAGAGACCTAGTGGAAGAAAAATGCGATGAACGACCCGAACACAGAGTATGTTACTTATATTGCTGTACCTTCTCACGAACACTCGCTGGAGCTAGATTATCCAGTATCTGTAGCCATAACAGTGAGCAATTTCGTGGCGCGTGAAGCTATCACCTGGCCATATTCTTTCATTTCCGCAGCGTAAGGCTCAATAATGCTGTTCACAGTTATCGGTGTGGCCTTGACTAGACTGATCATCCCTAGGGGCGATAGAGTCGATTTGTCCGGTACCTGGGAAGATAATTTCAATGCTTATAAACCCAGCCGTCGTCACTCACAACCTCCAAGTACACAGTATTGTTGTCCTTCTCCAGCTCCGCCAGTTCCTTATCTATAACGCTCCGCAACGCCTACCGAGAGGAGTTCACGCGCCTAGCCAGTAGAGCGTGTCCCACATACATCAACGTCCCGTATCAGCTTGTATTCATCAGCCAATGCATCAGCTTGCCTACATAGACTTGCCGAATACCGGAGCCGGGCTATCAGTGGGCCGAACCCCTACACGCGAACGACATTCCTCATGGCGAGCGTTAGCCTTTCCTACCTCCAGATTTACCAACACACGTGGCTTCTCGTTAAGTGCGACCCTGAGGATCAATAGACACTGAGAGCAGAGCATAGGGATTACTGTAGGTTAGCAGCAGCGAGGAAGGCCAACTCTTGATAATGACAATGGCCCTTCCACGATCGATCCATTTCTGTGTCCAACTGTCCAGCGAAGGACGCTGCCGTGTGGTAATAGCTGCTAGTTTGGGAAGCTAAAAGAAGCGACGCAAAGTGCTGTGCACTGAATTGACAGCAGGTGAGTTGGAGACTGGCTCACCCAGTTTAGAAAGTAGCCCTCTATTAAGTTTGTCCTTCACAGCTTTCTCATACACGAGCGCTTGTGCTTGTGCGAGCATCAACGAGGCACACAACGAAAGGCCTTCATTCGAGAGATCCACCGAAGTCCGGCCCGATACCAGTTGTGCAAGCTGAGAACTCTCAAGCTCAAGACAAGCACGATAGGCTTACCACGTTATCCTTGATCATAGCAAACATCCCTGCTGACGCTTGAAACTCTGTGATGGCAGCCTTCTGACCCTCAG